ACAGTTTATTCGTAGTTTAAAGGCAGCTCCAGATGAACTTCGCTTGATTTGCGATTATTCCCGTAAATGAGTAAATGAGGGATCAGAACGACTGCTGATGTATTGTTTGGTCAACGAAATCTGCAAGGAGCAACTGAAAGCAAACGTTTTTGCTTAGAGGCTCAAGGTAGATTGTAATCGAGTAGCCCATGGGTCTTATTTATGTACAGTCTAATATTGTATTCAAAGAGAACATCAAAGTTTTGCAAGGTATAATCATAAAGCATAAGCAGAATAGCCATAAGACAGCAGTTATTTTGGGGTTTGCAAGAGCAAGGCCTTTCCAGCGATGTATTTTTCCCAATAGGTTCTTCTGGAGCATTTTTGCCGAAAACGAAGTTAATGCAGTTCGATTTTCAAATTTTTTTGTATCCATTTTGTGACGGTTCAGCGAACACCATTAAGTTAGGTACTCAGAGGAAGCACCGAAATTAGCAAATTAAAGAAGTAACAGTAAGCAGTGTCTTCAACAACAGAAATAAACACGTGATTATCACACACGAAGTAGTAAATTTTTATGGTACTTTGAAACAGACAATAAAATAAGAGTATACACGTGTGTCTTGCGAGGGGTTTTCTTCAGAATCACGTGTATACCATTCAGTGAAGGACGAGGCTTCCGCAGCCCACATTATTGGGTTGTGTCACTGTATACCAGTGTGAAATAACTCCGGACAGTGAACAGATACAGATACTTCTGGTCCAAGGAAACAGTGTAGATCAAAGTCGCTATGGAAAAGTTATTAAAATTAGGAATTTTGTAGTTCAGTTGAACCCAGCATGCGCTGAAATTTCCAAAACCACTCAAAGACAGTTTCGCTTCTGATAAGAATCATTGACAGTGCACCCATTATGAATTTGTGGGAAGATTCAAAAGCCGAAGTTTTCAGTCTTTAGCTGGGCCTCTCGAGCTTAACACCCAGTGATTGGTCAGTCACTTGACAAAACGCCATTTTCACTGTTGGTGCTAACCAATCCAGTATCAAATAGCATCCCAAAAGGCAAGTTAGCAAATAAAAGGTCCATTCGGCTTGCGGATAATTATTATTTTGGTTACAGTGATTTCAGCTGTTTGTAATAGAGACAGACCAACTTTCACCGCTGCCTCAAAAANATCAAATAGCATCCCAAAAGGCAAGTTAGCAAATAAAAGGTCCATTCGGCTTGCGGATAATTATTATTTTGGTTACAGTGATTTCAGCTGTTTGTAATAGAGACAGATCAACTTTCACCGCTAGCTTCAAAAACATGTAGGAATAAATAGGCAAGAGTATGGTGTCATGTTTCACAGTTGTGTCTAAGACTGAAAAGATCGACAGGAAGTAGATTATTAGAGAGTGCCATGGAAAATCGTGTTTAGATTCTTCCATAGGCAAACGTACGGTGCAATCGTCTGTGCTGACTGAGCTCACAGCTCCACCTTGTAACATCGCATATTGCGTAAGCGCATTACATTCTAGTGCGGCACCCTAGGCAAGCACCAAAGTCGATTTGTACCAGCTGATCATAAACAGTAATGAGGGACTTAATATGACGGCAGTGAAAATTAGTTTACTTTTACTTATAAAATTCCGCCAGCCTTCGAATCTGGTGAGAAGTGCCTTGTGAGACTTTTTTCCCAATTATTTTGGTTGAAATTCTGGATTGAAATTTCCCATAGGAATATTTTTGCATAATATCTCAAGCGTAGTCCTATGTTGATTTCTTGTGATAATCTTCGACCAGATCCATCACGCATGATACCCCTGAAATTGTGAGGCGTTGGAAAACCGCATGGAAATTTGACTTTGAAAAAAGCAAAATACATTCGCACGACAACAAGTCAGACTTGAGTGCATGGTTACAAAGAAGAGTCTATGACGGCGTTTTTCCAATCATGCCACAATCAACATTTACACAAAACGGAATTTCAAAAGCAATTTCGAATTTTCCCTGCATGTAAAATAATATTTAAGCTTTGCGTGCAGCAGGGTGACGTTTACTGCTGCTTATTTTTAGCGTCTGACAGCATCTGCTGTAAGTGTAGCAACGTCTCAGTAAAGCATCTGCAAGAATTTGACCTGATGCTAAGGAGTTCATTGTTTTAGAATGAGCTAATGAATGATTGAATGAATGAATGGATGAAATATTGAATGAACGATTGTAATCACAGGTGAAGAAGCAACGCATTTTTTATAAATTAGTTCTACTGATCTCTGGTCCTGCACGTGACCCGAATCTCCTATAATCGTATTTGTGTAGCCGGAGGTAGTGCCTTCCTGGCGAGTTTAATAGATTTATGCCTGTAGTAATTATTGGTTTCATCTCTAATCAGCTATTCTATTTTGCCCCTCATTGTTGTTCTTTGAATCTCTGCCCCTCAATCGTCATTAACGATCACTTTTCTTCCAGTTTTTGGATATCTGTTAGATAAACTGACACAAACCAGGCAGGTTATTAGATTTTGTCTTCTTGACACAGTTACCGCCGTGGGATATCCCTCCTTGGAAGCCGGAAAAAATGCCGAATATTCCTTCAGTTGGATAATACCCTGGGAAAAATCCGGTTGTCTAGATATCGATGTGTTGCCTAGCTGGAGACAATCAAAACGCAGCCCGTCATTTTGAACGTTTACGTAAAACTAATGTGCTATTGTTTTTAACGCATAAATGGAAGAGAATAACACGTGGAAAGTCTTTGAACTGCGCCCATAAAACCACGTACTGTGGGAACAGGTAGCACTTTGCTATCGAGAGTCTACATAATATTGACAAGCACTTGGTAGAATCATATAATCGAGGGCACAGTTGGGAGATTAGGAGTGCCTTTTTCTAAAACGACACGCTATCATAACTGCGAAACCCACCAAGTGAACGAATGGTGCCTAAGTCTGAGACCCAAATACTTGGCCTACTCATTTTAAGAGGCAAATCAATAGTTTACGGATTTGTCTCAGGGAAATAAACGAGCCATCGATTCTTCACTACTATGTTCGCACTTACCAGTTGAATGTCCAAGCCCGAATAAAACATTCTTGTGACTATTTTGGTCTTTTAGAATTTTGGAGGATCCTGGAGACACCCAGTGTGAAATGGGACCCTCGAAGTTTAGGTTAAATAACACAGTTCAAATAAGATTATGGTCGAAAAGTGGCCAAGCTGCCACAATCGGGTACTTCACTAGTTATTATTGAGCGTGTCAAATCTTGGCGTGTAACGATCCGAGGACAACACACACGCAGCTTGCTGCGCTGATCGTCAGGAAACGCGTTTGTACTGTGTTTATTTTAATAAGCATTCTGGTGTCTAAAAATTACTGACAATGGCCGTAACATGATGTTCAAGACCTGTCCAGAACCCAACTAAGCTCATTCGCACTTTATGCCGTGGTTCAGTAATTCATGTTTCTTTGACTATCCTTTGAGAGTGATGAGTAACACGAGTAAAACTGCGTCATAAATACACCAATAACATTGCAACATAACGATTACAACCATTACTCTGTTCTTGCGGTTTCGTTATGTACAGATGAACTCTGAGTTTGTCATGGGAACTCAGGAAGGCAGTTCCATTTTCTAGACAATTACGTTTTCTAGCCAAGGCACCGAGTTCGGAGGGAAGTTGGTTCAGTAAGCAAACCAGTTTGGGTTCCTCATAACACATCGATATATGATGTCCATTCATTACGTAGCGATCAAATAATTGTGCTAAAATGAAAAAGACAGCAAATGTTACTTCCTTTGAATGCCTCCTTTAAATGAAATTTTGACTGTGATAAATCAACCATTCGAGATCTATTCAGACATCACTGCTCTAGACTTGTTTAGCCCTCAACAATACGTAGGGATCCAATGCTGCCAAACGGGGTTCAACATAATGGTCTACGTTCGAATGAAGACGTGCATAGATAATTATATACAACAGAATTTCAATACCCGATTGGTCAAAGATAGACTAAATTCTGTATTTTATGGGCAGCAATGTCTGAGGGAAATCGTTTAGGAATTCAATTTTTGTCAGTATTCTCTCACGTGCTTGAGTTCCGAGTCACTTTGACATGATAATTCTCCAGGAACTGTTGCAGCACTTCCTTAGATATGCTGATTTATTGGATCTTGCTCAACAAGAAGACTAAGTTCCTCAGTGAAAGCTACGCCTTGACGCATATTTACTGTTATATTTTTGTAAACTTTCGGTGACATATGAACCGACGGATTTATGTTTGCTTTATTAGTATTCAGAGACAACAAAATGGCTCAGATGGCAGTCATTAAAGGGAAATTATTTTCGCTTTCATTGCCTTGCTTTCTCAGGTATCTGTAATTAGTCTATTTTAAACATTTTCATAAAACTTATTTCGCAGTGAGTTTTCTACACGTGTTTTGGTCCACCTATACATTTCATTCCCTGTTTGCTGGAGTAATAACTCAGAGGTAGGATTAAAACATGGTAGTTTGCATTTTTGTGACATACATTCTTTTACCGTGATTTATTTGTTGCTTCTTTTTCGTTCTTATTGGAATGCTTCAAGGCCACTCACGTTCACTTCAAAAGATGCTTTCAGTGGACCAGGAATGCGAGGCTCTCCGTCGGCACGGGTTTCTTACACTGCTTTTAGCACAGCCGTGTCCGGTTTGTAACATTCCTGCCATTCTGCATAAAAGCGTTCGCCCCTGTTTTTGCGCCTTGTCAAATTACGCAAATTATTAGTATCCATCAGATAGGTTCATGTATACCATTAAATAACATAAGTACACCATAAATGGTGTCACTCTGCAATCTTCTGCAATTGATTCAATGGAAAAGACAGTACAAGGTCAACACTTATTCCCCTAATGCAAGTTATTTTCGGACGCAAAAAATAGGAGCAAAAATGTTCGTTACATCCGGCACAAACTAGATCTACACAAGTTTCAAGAACAGCTTGACTAACCGTAAAAATGTGCTACAAGTGCAGACAAATATGGACATCAAAACCTACCTATTTTTTCGAGATTTATAAAAGGTTCGACCGGCAAATGTGAAGAGGTCCGTTGTCATATCATCTGGATTCCTGGTTGTTGAAGTTTGAGGACAACGCATCAAGTGGCGAAATGTTGGAGAAAGCTGTGAGCTGATACGCAGAGGTTCACATTCATCAAAGAATTTGCTTTTTGACGGGGTCGGTGTAAATGCCGCGAATGGAGTGGCACTTTCACAAACGGACTGAAATAATGACAGATGCAACAAATATAATGGCACGCTTTTATTGCATGGTAAATATATTGTGTTCGAATGTAAACGTTGTTAGGCCCTTAGAAGAATAGCGAAACACGCCGACTTGCATACCAGAGATGACTAGAGTACACGGGTTTTTGATTAGGTGGCTTCTGGCTTGTTCGGCAGGCTTGGTAGCTAGCTTGCAAAGTTTTGTCGACAACCGTGGAGACAGTTTAAATCCTGCTCGCATGACGATAATGAAGTTCTCTCGATAGGTAAGGAAACGTTTGTAAACAAAGTGCTGTACTGGACAGACGTCTTAAGGGGCACCTGAACAATATCTAATCAACGCATCCCCACTGAATTCCCATTTTACTAAAACACAAGTACACTACGGTGCTGAACCTTCTGTCCTACCGCAACTATTGTTATTTTTGTTGTCCGCGCTTTTTTGAAGCTGGTTTTGCCTTATATAGTCCCCAAATTTTTCCTTCCGGTTGCCGAAATCGAAGAATTCTAAAAAAAGCAATCTTACACGGATAATTTTCCTGAATCTACATTAGAAAACCTGCCGGGTCAGGTCTCTTGTCCAAGTACACTTCGTCTCCAGTTTTTGCTTCCAGATGAACGACGAGGCTTACACTAGTTTGTTGAAGCAACAATCGAAATCCATTATCCCATAATTTATTAAACACTCACACAGTTTATTCAATTCGCAGTTATTTCACAGTACATGTTAGACAACCCTGATGAGAAGCAAATTTTGAATAAAATAAGCTACTCAGTGTAGTTCTATTGCAAGGCGATACCGACTATTTGCAACTATAAGAAGAGTTGTTGTGACACCTAGTGGTCCGTTTGTGATGAACATTTACTGGTATTTATGGGGATAATATAAAGAATCTGGGAGGACGCGCTCTGTTTCTTCATTGACTTTACGAATACTTATAGCACATGGTCCAGTAAAATGTCTGCCTGACTTGGTGGTTTGTATTGTTAGTCCATAAGCGACTTGCTTTAAAGAACATGTAAATGCGTTTCCAGCGTTACTTACTTTGGTTACCGACGGACGACTTGCAGTTGAAAAAATGCCTTGACTAAACATGGAAGCTCCATCGTTTTTTCATTAAATTGAATTTTAATTCACTTGAAAGACTTGACATTAGCTTGCAGATACCTATTCTAAAGAATTTACAGTGGAATGTGGTTTTTAGTATTTGTCGAATCAAGATAGTCAGCTATGTCCGGATTCAGACTGCAAGCCGGCACCTGTGTAAATTAACAATGAACCAAAAACCTATATCAGTTGGCCAAATTTTTTTACCGTTCAGAACTTAGATGTGACGCAGCTTAAACAGAATAGAACTCTCAGTCAATACAATATTATTCAAAGAATTCCCCTTCAGTTTATCGTCCCCATGTTCCTGCACCTTCAAAGGTACATTTGAATCGATTACCCACTGCGACTCGTATTCTTGAACTGACCATAGGTAATCCGGTCTCTCACCACACACTTAATTGTCTCTTTTGCTTGCATCATATCACTTGGCAAATATTTTTCATATCAGCGCCTATAAATTGGTTGGTTGAGATTTGCCACGGCATGTCTGGGAACCCGAAAGCTAGATACCGGATAGTATTCCTCTGCTCAAATGTGTGCTTGTAATCACGATAATCGCATATTCTGCCTAACGGGCCCAAAAGTAGGAATACATTATTCGTCGAAATGTGATTTCAAAGGATTCATGCAGTGTTAAACGGTAAATGATATATTTTCCAAAGGAAATCAACGTGGGAATCATCAGGAAACTCTATACAAATGGTTTCTGCTATTTAACATATTACAATATGTTACGCTTACCTGAAAAAGCCAGACATAGAAACTGAAATCATTAGGCAGTGGGAATTCGAATAATGCTGGTTCAGGCATGTTTTCAGGGCCTTCTCGGTGCTTGTTGTAACTCCGGCCGACCAATTCGACTGCAAGAAGATTTTGCGCTAAAATCTGCTCATACTCTGGAGATGGATTTTGGTCCTAAACAAGTAGAAATTAAATCAAGCGTAGCTCTTTTAAATGGAATGTTAGGTTATGCTTCGTCGATGACGAAGTCACTTTCTTCTTTATGAGATGCAAATTCCACTGTGACAATTATCGTCATGTATTGTCATGTACTGAAGCCATCACTTCGAGACAAACTTCCAAAACACAAAAAAGAGATTTGATTAGTGTGAACATAAAAGTGCGTGTTGTCCATTAGAGCCAAAATAGCTACCTGTCACATTTATGAATTTTGTAGCAGCTTAGCTAACGTAGAGGTTGCTGCGACATGGTATTTATAAACAAATTTTATCCAAATAAAATACCGCTTTTAAGCTGTTTCGAGGCATGAATCCATACACAATACGTATGATTGAGTTTTGTGGTGAGCCGGAACGACTGAAATAGACAAATTTTTGATACCGCAAACATTCGTTATACAAAAGTTCATTTTTGTTGTCATCCCTGCTTTTATCTTTATTACTTTTACGTGTGGTTTTCTAGTAAAAATGACCGGCTTGTTTATTCCCGCAAACGCTTTCAAAGCCGACTTCCTTCCAAATATCTACATGGTTCACCTGTTGACACAATCATATTAGGATGATATCAAGCGTTTCCTATTCTATGAATACTGGCTATACAATCTTTCTTATAAAATGGAGAAACCACCAGTTTGAGAACAGCTTGCATCATTTTTTGCGACAGTTATATTCATCTGTCACTACGATTAGACTGTTTTTGTGTACATTGCAATAAAATCTTACCAAACGCTGAGGATTTTTGCTTCTTCTAAAAAACCTTTTGCTGTTGATTGTCTTTGCTGCAACGGACATATTGCTCTACAGCCAAATTAAAAACAAAATCAAATACCTTTGGTTTTTATCATCAAAAAACGTGATTCCTTTTTGGGTTTTTCGTTATGTGACATTTTCCACCTGGCAGCTGACTGAATAATACTGTTTTTTATCGTTTTGGATGATTTTTCAGGACATTCTCAAATTGAGATCCGCTACGAAACCTGGTATTGTTCTTTGCAAACCAGCAGATTTCAACACATCTAATTCTATTCAAAATACTTTAAAAAGAACTATATTCTTAGGATCAGTGTAAGCATCTAGCGATTCGGATTTTGTGACCGATGAGCCGACCATAGAGAAGAACATTAAGAAAACACTGGAAGGCGTCAAATGTGTCATTGCCGCATCAATTTTCATCAGAAGGACACGCCTGGAAATAACTTTAATATCCTCAAATCATTGCAATAAACTACGATGTTGGACTAAGTTATTGTTGTGCGGTACTTGAATTTGAAGTGTGGTCCTCGATTTTGGGGTGAGCACATAATGACCTTGCAAGTTCCTTGTAGATAAAATACTTATTTTCTTTTTTCGTTGTATTTTATTTTTTAATCTTGACTTTAATTTTTTTTACCCACTTTTTTATTGTTGCATGTCGTACTAAGTGAAAATGTTTCTCCAGTCTGGACCGCTAAATCGCCGTCATGGATACCGCGGCTAATGTTGCCCATGTCTATGTAATCAGATGCTCTTAGTGAAGTCAGAAACTTCAGACTGTGTCTCATTTTAGACACGGCCTTCTAAAAGTTAACTGCCTTTACTCAAATTCGGTTGTCCTCTTTAATCTCATCCTAGTCAAAAGGCGTCCAAACTGGTTTCACAGATTAAGTCAAACTGTACAATCATTTCCCTGCTCGATACATCAATCAATTAGTCAGACTGTTATCCAGTGATTTGATTGTTTGTGTAACCAATGCATTTCCGCCGTATGCATCTCAATGAATAGGGGTGAAAGCAAAATTGAGAGGAGAGGACAGACAGGTTTTTTATGCTGAACAGTATGCGGATACGCACACACTAGAATAATAAGGGTGAAAATCATCACCACTCAGCTGCATGTTGTTTGAGCAATAGATCGTGATATTACTTCGTAAAAGGAGAGCTAAGTGGTTAGGTTAGAGGGAACGATGGCACTGAATAAACTGGATGAAAATGGGCCGAAATGATGGGATAATTTTTGTTAGTTGAAGTTGTCAAGGAGTTTTGAATTAAAGGTGCTTACAGCCTCTTTGTATAGATATATGGTTTTCCGCAAACATACACAACAACAAAAGCTGTAAGTACAAACCATTTTTGTATTAGGAATTTCATGATTTCCTTATCGTTCACGGAAAGAGAGAGACAAAATCTATTGCATGAGATGAGATACCCGTTGTTTTACGGTGATCGAGAACATTGACGTGATACTGTCTAGCGCACGAACCGATGAGGTTGTAAACAAATTCCGCGTCCGCCCGCAATTACGGCTACCAAATCTCATCAGATATTTTGGTTTGATGTGACATTGGTCTTCTTTCAATCTGATACGCAAAGCAATCATATGACTGATACAGTTAGCATCACCTTGTACATCCATTTGCATGCAGACACCGTAATCACTTGTCCATCTCTGCTAAATCGCCTGAGTAATAATTGATCATGTCTGAATGAGTGCTTATGGTTAATAATGAATAGCCTGCAAAACTTGTTTGATTCGTGTTTGATGCTAAAAAAATGCTCTTTTTCAAATAACTTTTCCGTTTTTGTTCGGGAAATGATATCAAGATTTTCGATGTCATCATTTATTCCGTCTCTCATTGCATACTTCTGTTGAGTTGCGCGGTTGAAATAGGACTAAACGGTTAAGTAATAGCTTGCATGATGTTGAAGCGTCCCTTGAGGTACATAGCGGAAAAGCAATTTGAATCAGAAATCTGCCGAAATCAATCATTTCCATAACATGTACAACTACTCTGGCCGAATTCATACAAAATTTGCTTTTCTGATTTGCTATTCTTGTCTGTCCCAAATAGAGGGTGCACGATGGCAGTGCGCCTTCGCAGAGACTGCCAAAAATCAGTGCTCAAACACCACGGAAATCATCTTGACTGATCCGAATTTTTACCTGACCTACACTTGGCAAGGAACATGCAGAAAGTTGTTGAAACGTCATCACAGATACTAAATGTGAAGGTACAGAAGAGCAGAGGTCGAAATTCTACCTTGTCTTATAATCTAGTATTCAGCATTAACGTACATCCTCACGCAAGAAGAACACCCCTACTTATCTAAATTTTGTAAGCCTGGATTCGCTTAATGTGACCACAGTTGGTTTTCGCAAAAAACCCATGTATTCCTACTGTCAAAGTGAAGATGAGAAATCGTCGAAACGGTAAATTTCCCACCTGATGGATAAAGTTACGCTCTATATTTTACTTGAATGTGTAATCTACCATGCCGACCCGTTTTCACCTGATTCGTTGCATCTACGTGTGTGCTACACTATGGGAAATTTACCCATTCATTTAAGTAGACACGTCAGCCCTGAGCCTAACCATAGATCTAATAGTTTAAGGTTGAAGACGGGGGTCATTTGAAACTTTAAATAACTTGTGGCTTTACATTAGTCTTAATTGTTGCTTCTCTGGGTAATACTTCATCTCAAACCGTTTTCTTAGCCTCCTCTGCAATAATGTTAAATTTAAGACGTTTCCGATATGTTTTTTTATCCCAACAGAATAAACAATGTTCAGTGAATGCCAGTCTTAACTAACGCATGTTTACGAACAAAAGTTACATGGTCTCACTTTTGACAGACGCAGAATTAGTAACTTGTCTTCTGTGGGTATGCTCTCCCTGGGGTCGACAGCTTGAAGCACGGAAGAAAGGTTTTGTGGCGAACCTGTGAACAAGAGTTCAATTCAAAACAATTTATTCATGTCACCAGAAATTCTTATAGGTACTGTGGGGGTGTTTAAGGTTGAAATACAGTGTAGTGGACTAGGATGCCATAATACAGCGTGTCAGTTTCTGTGAACAATGCTTTTTCAAGGATTTTTAAAGTCTGTTGAGTATGGCTCAAGTGCAGCGTCCGTTGTTTGCTCTCATGTATTTTGAGTAGTGTACTGTTGAGATCATTTGCCTGATGCACGGGAGATAAACACAACCAAACTGCGTTCAACGTAATAATGGAATCAGTATGTCGTGGATCTTGCCTGGACAAACTGTACCTCCTGGTAGTCTCAGTGGCGAGATGTCAGCTAGAACAAAAACAAAAGGGGATACACTCAAGCCAAAGTACTCACACAGGCAAGCGTACTGGCACATAAATCTAACACGCTGGTTGCATTCGAGTGCCAAACGATCTCAAGAATTCACCAATTAGAAGACAAGTTATCGGACTTTGATTACGTAGTTGACTGACTGTAAAAATCCAAAGGCAAACGAAAAGGCGGATTGTGACATCTAAGTCCATTGCGCTGAGTTTTGGGCCTGGAAGTTATATATTATACACCAGATGGCACTCGATTTGTTTAATAGGATTCGATCCGTGTTTGGTCCGGAACCGTTAACTCCGAGGGGCTATTTCCAATCGATGAACACGTTCAAATAACTCATCCTGAACAGCTGAGTATTTCACGAGAACAACGTAATTATGGGCACAACTTTAAGGATGCACACAATATCTTCTATTTCTTAGAGCTGTATCGAAAAGATGGCGGGTATATACTAGACTATATTGCTTTCTTTGGATTTTAGATACAATTCAGTGCATGTAACTTCGGACGCAAATCTTCGGTAAATTTTAAGCGGGATTGGACCACAAATATGCAGGAAAATTTCAGCTGAACTGTACAATTCCTAGTAGGTTTACCTTGACGCCTGCAGTACGTGAATTTTATTCTGTGGAGTTGGGCATCAGAAAAAACAGACTAACAAAACTAAAACGGGAGTTAATTTGTGACCAAAATGGGTTTCTGGAAACATTACGCATCAAAACAGTTACATTTAACCATTATAAAGAAGGCTTACCTTCAAACAGTAAGGCATTAACGAGTGTCTTCCCAATGGAATATAAAACTGGCCCAAGATTGGCGTAGCTGTGAAATATGAAAAGAGAAAAAAAACTAATCAAACATGACCTATAACATTCGGGAAATGATACTGGCGCTATGCCATAATGATCACCTAACTATGGCTCCTTATTGACTTAGGATACAATAGATCTTCTGTCTTCTCTTTAATAATATTGCGTATTTCATCATCAGCAAAACTCCCGTACGTCAAAACAAAGGCTACGTTTTCGTGACATTACCCATGACGGGCAACTCAAGGACAGTGAGTAACAATGTTAAGAAAATGATACACAGCGTCCGCACTTTACTGACTACGGAGAATAATTAACACTGCGCACATAGTGTTTTCATGAACTGGTATCAACCTAGGTCATACATTACTTATGAAGAGTCTCCAATGAGCAATCCAAAATGGCTTGCATCAGTGTGATGACCGATTGAACAACAATAGAGCATGAGAAATCTACTGCGTGTGCTTGATTATGGCCTCGTCTCCAAAACAGCTGAAACTGCATACAGTTTTAACTTTTTCTCTATGTTTGCTTACAAATTCGTATAATATACTAGCTTCAGTATTTCTTAGATATTTATGATTTATAAGGTTTAATCTACACCTAGCTCATGTATAAAGGAATCTGTCCCCTTTGAAGTAAGTCCGTAGTGTAGGAGATTGTCTCTACAGACCTACAAATCTCCGGCTTATCATCTAGCGTCAATGTTTGCATCCGTATAAACAGTGTCTTCTGCCTCTCGAAAATCAATGAATTTTAAATCAAGAATAATAATCTGCCTCCGGAATTGTAGGAATTCAGCTTATACAGTCTTCTTTAGTCCGGTAGGACTAAGTAGGAAAACGGATTGCGGTGAGCGGTAAATCTCTTAGTTAGGGGTGACCAACGTAATGGAAGTTGACATGATAAAGTTGGGTCAGAAGTGAGTCGGCTGTGCAATAATATTTTTGAATAATTTTTTCTTAAAGCTTGATGCGAAGCTGGGTAAGTTGCCTCTACATTTCCAGTATAATTAGTGATGATTTTAGTGGTAAAACCATGAGACAGTAACCTTCCCCTAGAAAGCTAGAGAACGAAAGAGATGGAAAATAAACTTGATGTAAATCCGTACATCAGAGCAAACGGAGGTTACTCATACGGAGGGTTTACCAATCAAGTTACAAGTCTTTCGCACTAACATTTCCAAAGTGAATCGGCCAGCTGAATTGATTAGCTAGGATAACTCCGAAGCATTCAGTACAACTTGCACCACTTGTACTCGTTGTTAAGCTAACAAAAAGATCTTAATAGTGTCTACACGCATAACAAGAGAAACATCGTGAAAAATTGAAAGGCTACCCTCGGGATCTCAAGAGATGCTCACCCTATCCGGTTTGTACCTATGCGTGGCTACCCAGCCTCAAGCTTGCGCCATTGGAAGGAATCAAAATACGGACGGAGTGGGGCATAAAACGACAGGATAACAAAGCGCCTTGTGAATGTCTCTAAGAGTTGGCCGTAATGAGAATTATCGGTTTGTCAGATATGTAAACTTGTTTCAGTTAGTAGAATGCGAAAGCTTGACTCTCGTGGTCAAATCGTGTGGTCATTTGCGCGTCAAGCCTTTTGAGGGAAAATACACAGAAAGTGACTGCATTTGGCCATCGCTCACTGCTGCACCGCATTCCGGTCATTTCAGGTAGCGCAAAGCATTGCATGTTCTTTTGTCTAAAATTTCACCTGCCTAGTTGACCACTGTCCACTAAAATGCATCTATAAGTTGTTGAGAATACCATTATGATGTCAATAACAAAGGCAACTTTTCTAGTTTGCTTGATCTTATAGCGCGCAAAGTGTAGCTGAAAGCTATGCCTACTGACGGTGGGCACAACATCCTCTGCTGGACAGCGTTTTACCATCGTAATTGCAGTGTCATATAGGGAGAACACTCCATGCTCATTTGATATCGAAACATAGTGAAGCATACCAATGCAGCAAGAGAAGCCTAGTACCAATTGGGGCACAAGATACCGTCCATGATCATTAGCATTTTAGTTTGTGGAACACGTATTCATCTGCCAATCTACTGTCTAGCTAATCGTGCATTGGCAAGTTCTCCCGAGGGCTAAACGAAAACATCTTTACAAAAAGAATCTGATTTTTCCTCACAGCTTTGTTCAAAAAATTTGGAGAAAGTGTATTAGTGATTGTTCTTCCTCATCACTGAACTTTACACGTAAACCGTATTGTACAGTGGTAAGGAATTTTGAGTCAGAAGGTCCTATGATGAATCTCAACATTACCTTCAGGAACTTAATTGGGGTACTAAGTGAATAACAACCTAATGGATTTGAGTTCACATTTGATACTGCCTATCTTCCAACCTTGAAAGTATAGGCAGCAGTATAAATTCGAGATTGGTTAAAGTTGGCAAAATTCTCTGCACATAGCATGAAAGAACCATTCAAAGGGGGAAAAGCGAATGCTACGGTCACTACCGATCAAGATACCCCTCTTTCTTATATGTGATATTTTTTCTTAAAACCTGCATGTTATAACAAAGTTACAAAGTTTAGCTGATAAGTGAGGGCTCTTTTCCTGAAACGCGAGCTTTGGGTTGATGTCTGAGCTTACCCCAGATACAGGAAGAGGCTGGTCTTTTGAAATAAAGGACTAACTAAATAAGCCACCAAAAGCAGAATTTGTGATACTTTTAGCCGTTTCCAGCTTCCTTAAATAGAGGTCTCACATTAAAAAACGAATCATGTTTGGTTGGTTGGCATCAGATGAAATTGCGGGATATGGCCAGTCAATCGTAGCTTACATCTGCCGTAGGCGTGAACAAGTCACGGGCTTAGTTTCCTTGCTATGTATATATAGCTTGACAGTAGCGTGTCATTTATCGTTTTGCATTTGTGCGTACCATATAAATCAAACCCACTCACCTGGGAACACTCATGTCTGTTTCCAAATACGGCCAGTTAAGTGACAAGACAGACAATTCTAAAATTGCAGAGTTGAACAAAGATTTACATTTTAACATTCATAGAATATTTTGCATAAACAAAAAGACGCATTAACAATCATTGGACAAAATGATAACGGCGATAATTTTGTTGAAGGGGTCCGCTTTGAGTTCTAATACTGAACCATACTGACAAATCAAATTGATAGGCATTAGTCATAGTCCATCACTTATTCTAACCACAACGTTTTGAGGGGAAATGCAAAATATAGTCAACGGGATTCAGTTAGAGCAAGACGCCCGAATAGACATTCACCACATAGATTCCAGGTTGGTTTACACTTGTAAACAAAGCAAAATCATCATATTAACCAACCGGCAAGTAGAATGCACCTAAGTCGATGTGGTTGGTTAACATTTGGTGGTAACACTAATGTTTGATAAGTAATTTTCAGAACAGTGGTTGACTTTACTGGCAAGTCGGAGAAAATAGGAACAGTAGTTTTAAAGTTGGGTGAAAACGTGCCAGGCAAAATGTAAACATTTTTGTTCCACAGATCGTTGGTATAATGTGTAATATTGCAAGTAGCGATATTATGTCAGGCTTATTTTATTAGTAAGTTTGTATAATACGACGGATCGCAGCGAGTGAAGAAGTTAGTGGGACTCTCCCGAAGGACAAAGCACTGGATCGCGTCCGGTGAAGCAATCTGTTTCCCACTTACCAGGTGAATCTTTGAATGCGAAAAGAGAAACCCCATTGTCGGTTAGAGGAGAATGAGAACACTGAACGAAGAAAATGCTTCTCGCCTATAACAATTTCAGTTGGATAGGAGCGATGCTTGTCTAATTCAATTGCTGTGTAACGTTTACAGAAGTTAACTCGTTTTTAAAGGATAGGAAAAATAGATGATGGTTGAATGGTAGAATTAAGTTGCATTAATTTCGAAGTTTTTGACGTCATGGGAGATAAATGTACAAATGCTCATATAGGTTTGAATTTGCGGAAGAATCTCTATGGTAGCCCGTCGCACTAGGCACCGAAGATCAAAACGATGAGTTGATTGTGGTTCCAGAACAGAAGCATATTTGCGTAAGGCTACGCACTGTTACTGTTGTCACTGTGCCTCATTATTGGTACATCCTGTGAGATTTTATCTGAAAAAACTGGACTCTGTAGCTACCATTGCAAAAAACTATTAACTCCATTGGAAACACTCCCCCGTTGGAAACACTCTGATGAGCTACTGTGTGCTTGAATAAGCAGGCACACGTTTCTCATTCCTTTCTAAACTTTAGGTGTGCGATTGTTCTTTCTTTCCTGAAAATCGGACCCTGAAACTATGCAAACATGTTCTCACGTGGAAAATTGATGGATGATACTCACTGTTTACAGGAATTTTCTGACGTTTCGGGGAATACCTGACTCACTCCTTTAAGGAATACGAATTTAAGGCATCATGGGAAACTCTGTCTCTCCAGCTTATCTAGTATACCAAAGTTTGTTCTAGCGGAGTCCAATACAGTTTAGAGGTGAGAAATAGAAGTAAATTAACCCGAGCAGGGACCGAATTGCAGGTGAAGATGATGAGTAGTAAGTGATTAGTCTGGTGAAAATAAACGAATTCTCGCTATTAGTTAATCACAAATGAGTTGCAAGCACTAGCTAAAAAATATTTTGTTGCCTTGATTCCAGCACCAAATATTGTAACTGCCGAGATGACGACTGTTCTGTCTGGTTGTCTATATTATTTTACACTGAGCTTTGAAGAACTGGTTACGGGAAATTTTTCAATCCGGATGTTGTTTTAGTAAGAATTTCTGGCTGCTGTTACTTGTAAATAGTAACACTGAATTATAGCTTTGTGAACTTATCTTCGGTTATCTAAATGACCAATCGGCACACCACCCCGACTTTCCTTCCTTTTTCATACTTGCTTGAATCCCAAACAAGCATGACCGATTTTTTATTACTGCTTCAGAAAACAGCCAAGTTGTACAAAATATTTCTTTGTGACGATGATATTAATAGAAACAATTAAATGGCAAATATACCTGTGAACGCTTGATAAGTCCTGTGTAATGTTATACTCACTTAGAACTCCATCTAAGCATTATTCTGGAGACCTGAAAGCTGATTATAAACAGATTTGTTACCAGTTTCTGAATTTTCTCATTGCCTGCCTAAGGCAGCTGTTGTAAACAGTTCGTGCATCAGAGATTAAGTGCACTGATTGAAAGATCTTCAGAGAATAAATCCAGATGCAAACAGCGCAACTGCAGAATGGGTTGGGTGTTGGCATAACACCGAAACCGGTCATAATGCTTGGTTCAGTTTGAAATTTCCATAAGCTTTCTGCTCGCAGCAATCGCTAGTCTCCACGTAGATTTGTTGGATTCACGTTCACATTCCTTCACTTGAGTCATGTATACTTATTTATAAAATAAGACCGTACAATCCATTTAACTCCCAAGGAATGGGAGAAAACAACAGTGGCCATGAAAGTGACATATATTTGTCGTTTGTACATTTTCACTCCCAATGGTTAGCCTAATTAAACTAAGTTCATCATTTTTGTTGTAGTTGTTTTACTTTACCCGCTTTTTCCATTTAAATATTCCATCAGGTTTAAATGTATACTCCGTAAGACGGACGCAGTACTTGTTTATTGTCATTTAACTGTTCGAATATTTTGGATATTTTTCAGATATACAGCACTAATTTTAATCTATTTTCGCTCCAGATAGCTGCTGCATTTAAGTAGCTTTAGATGTCGCAGCTGCTCAAATACTTTGAGTCCTTTGTCTCACACCTTGCGGGACTCCAATGAACAGTCATACTATAACTCGGCCAAGTTTGGATAACTCTCCAGCACTTGTGAGATGGTTGGTATCCATTTGTAGCAGTATTTTTCTTCGTAATGTCCTGAAAAAAACATTCTCAGCAATGTTTACGCTACCCAGATTCTACTCATTAGCTACCAAACCAAAAATGCTCTCCAGTTGACCCGGTTCACAGTGAAATCATTTTTCGCGCACATAAGAATGCTACAAATAGCGTCTCCAACATATGCAGTTCAAAAATGCCTAAAACACACCCTATTTATGCATAACAGGATTGAAAATGGCAATGAATAGATATCGCCTGCCGCTAAACTTGTACATTTGGTGCACTTTGGAAAGCCCGACTTTACACTTTTTATGGAATCATGTCTATCATGATTGTTAATGCGCCAACGGTATAAAGCTTATCATCCCACCGTTTGTGAGTCGTTTTAGATAAGAAATAAGTAATATTTGAAAAAAAAACTGCTCGTAAAAGAGGGATTTCATAACAAACTATTGTTTTGTTTTCCTTTAACCCCCTTGAACGCCAAAACTTTCTAAGGAGGTATTTTACCCTATTGAAAACATTAAATGCACAAGTTCCTAGCAATACAGTGGGGCTTTTAGTTGAGTTAGTGCGTATACTGTTCGTTTTTTACAAAAAATTCCTTAGTATCACTTGGTGCAAAAGGTTCTTGAAGTATACTTGATACTGAGCCAAGCTATCATACACCCGCCCTACAGATGTTCGTTCTTTTTACCCTGTTTTTTTATCTTATGTTCTTCCAAGTTTTTGGCTATGTAATTTAAAAAAATAAAATTACTTGGAGTTTTAGCCCATAAATGCATTCTAAACACCATTTCTGGAAGCAAATGAATGACATATAAAACTGGTCAAATTTAGTAAAAGTGTCAATATGAAGAAATTTTGTCTTTATTGTCCAGTATACCAAGTTATTCCATGAATACCTTTAAATGCATTTGAGACGTTTCTGAGATAAGAGGTAAGGAAGATGAAAAAATTATTTTTTTATCAAATTTTCCCTCAACAATGATCATCCAGACAGAACTAGATTTGCGAATCTGTTTTTGTGCTTTAACATGTCGGCTTTTTATTTCCTTGTGGATTATGTATTTGGCATCCTTTTCCCATCTCCGTTATCTAGGCTCAGGGACGCAAGTACCTGTGTGTCTGTCAAAGTGAAAAGTAGCACCTGGAGTAGTACTAGTAGGTGCACTAAGATCAGGGCTAGACGAGATCGACTTTACTCCGGTCATTCAACGTTTGCCGCAAGTACACTAAGCTGTGAATCCATATTTTAAGTGCCTTTTATGGTAATATTGTTTTCCAGTGAGGGTTTTGTTTGCTGCTCTTACAGCGGACTCTATTTGGTTATGCCTGTAACATATCGATTATTATGTTATCATTTTGGAAGATACACCGAAAACCGTAAAACACGATTACCATTTACCTGCGCCTTTTCTAGTCGCAAATAACACACGTAATAATCAATCAATCACTTCTAAAGAAGTAAGGTCCGGCAATGAGCGAAGCTGTTTTGAAACACATGCAAACATTCGGGGATTCCTCACTGACTAATTGTCAAGACGAAATGGCCGTACGGCGATTCCTAGCTTGGTTGTAAGTGTTGATGCTGCTCAACTGTCTATTGCGCCATCATTTAATCTATAACAAGCTATTACCTTTTTCATAAAATGTGTCGAGTCTCTCTAATTATAGTTTGCTCTTGCATAGCAGGCTCAGTCGGACATGGCTCGTGGGCACCTCGACGTGAATTATCGATCCCTGTCTTTACAGAAATTGCCTACATCTTGCTAGGTGAATCTGGTGTATCGGACTCCAGTAGTCATATATATGTATATAAACATGTATATAGACCTATGTATATGTTCGGTATTATGACTTAGTGTCACGGAAATTTGAAAGATCTTGTTAGAGTTTTATCAAGCGAAATTGGGTGATAACTCACCAATTGTGTTCTGGTCCTCGAGGTAGTGGCTGATTACCCTGCCGCCCGATATCAACCTACAATTGCAGTGAAAAAGTTTAGTTTGACAGAAAGATTTTGAAAGACTTGTAACTGTTGTTGGAAATTTGCTAGTTAAATCGTACGTGAGATATTTCCTTCTTGATTTATAATCTTGCGCTATGGAAGTTACTTTCATTGTTGTCATATTAGCTAGGGGCATACAACAGGTTTGTAGTAATTTTGGTCTCAATATATCAGGCTAGAGATACTTTAATCACATATACGCAACTTACCCGGGATCTCTTAAGATGACCGCATAATCTGGTTGCAGTGCCTTCAGTGAGAGGAATGTATTGAAACTCACGATCTGATCAAGCAAACTTTCATTGCGTTGAAGATGCCACTAGGTTTATTTAGAAAACAAAGTAAAGTGCCACGTTAGGATATATGCCATCTTGTGAGAAGGTTTTTGTACACATGTTTTAGGCGGAGTCAAACCGGAGACAGAGTATATGAGGAGTTAAAATTCTCTACAGAATCAATCAAGTTCGGTGGCTGTTCCAACCAATAAGATGGACTAGCAGAGAGTTAGTCCTTGCCTCACTTAATTTACATCTTTCTCTAATGAAACTTTCATGCACTTTACTTGTCACCGGTATTTTGAGTCCTGGTTTCTCAAAAGTTGTATTCATCCCTTTACGTCAAGATATTCACATTCGTGCCGGTCAAATAACTGAAGTAATGAGGTACAAGGAAGGCAAGACCGATCGTAGGCTGATGAAGATTTTTTATTAATTTTATGAACTAAGTTCCGTCGAGGATGTATGTTACGGTATGTTGAATATCGTATCAAATTGAACATGGGGCGACGTCTAGGCCGCATACGTATTTGAACTATATAATTAAAGAGGGGCTCAGCAGTGATACCGTCAAGTCTCCCGTTAGAACAAATAAGTTTATAAATGAGAGTACTTCTCCCAGTTCGTAAAATTCAGTTTCATTTAGAACGCAGGTCAACAGAAACTTGCAGACAGCGCCTACCCTAGTAAGAGTAGAACCGGTCTTCGGCTGTAGAAGAATTTCAGCAAACTTATGATATATGGGATGCACGTTCAGTTTCTTGTTTGGACTGAATAAAAATTGATCGTTTAAGTACAGCGTGCTCAAAGGTTGTGATTTTCCGATAGAATCACATAGGTGGCCAAACCAACCAGCTGTTCGGCGAGTGCAGGAACCCTCACAATTTTCAGGAGTCTGAAGTGAATTTGCCAGCTTATAGCTCAAATGGTTACGGTGTTGTTGGTCAGTCGGTAGTATATTTTGATTGCTTCCTAGTTCGTTTAATAAAGCCGAGGATATCGCTTATTCAGACCCAATGCTCTGCACATAGATCAATGCACCTGAGTTTGAACAAGGTCACAAGATGGCCAGAATATATTCGGCTGTCATAATTTTCAGGGAAAAGGGAAAAAAAGTAACGAGTCAGTAAAGTTTGCTCACAGATTACGGAAAGCAGCACGAAGTATGCAGCGGGATTTCAGGTAAACCGAGAAGAAAGCTCCAATGATTTGCCCCCAAATCAATGGATAAGTGCACATGGGCGGACAAAACATTTTTCACCTTTAGGTACTAGATCTTTTTACATGGCACCCTCAAGTCTGGAAACATGTAGGAAGCTCAAGTCAATTACTGAGGCCTTGTAGATTAAGATCAGAAGCTGGGTTTCGACTGACCACTGTCGTTTCACGTTCTTTGCTAGTGTTCCGTAGCGTCGTTAAACATCACAAATGTGTCATCATTCAGAAGGCCTCAACGCTTTGCGGTGACAGAAGTTCTGAAATAAACTCCTATTATAGCATGTTAATCGTAAAGAGACGTAAAGAGTGGTTCTAAACAAGCAGTCCAGGACGCGTTTTGGCGGGATTGAGAATTTGATGTACAAGTTCAAGTTTCACGACATCACCCATCTCCCAAAGAAAATGTTTCATTTTTACTGGTTGAGCCCCTACTTTGTGGTCTGTTAGCAATCATGTAACCTTTGATTAGTTGAGATATTTCGGAGTCTTTCGTTGGCCTGCTTTGGATTTATTACCAACGACAAACTTAAAATTGAGGTCGGCGGTAGAATTAGGGGCACTGGTATGACCACTGGATGCAAAGGTCTGTATGGAATGTATCTTACTACCTAACACACTTGAATACGTTTTGATGCTCATTCATGCAGAAACCTCCTTTGGGCAGGCAGGGACACTCACCTGCACTCATCCTGAAAGGTGTTGCGCCTTATCACTCTGAATTAACTTGATGTTGGATAAAAAGTGGTATTGGATTTTGAGGGCAAGATGGCTTTGGTAATTGAAAGATTCACTGTGTACTTACGAAGAGGATGAGCTAAATCTCCCAAGATAAAGATCGATATTGTGCAGTCCTCGAAGGCCTGTACTTAAGCAACATGAAGTTTCGATATATCCTCAAAGATCTTAAGCAATCTAATCATGCAAACTATTTATCTTGCTCAGTTGGTCAAAGTAGGTAGCATCATGCTGAAACAACAATTTTTAACTTTGAACATGACATCATCTCAGAAACTCACGCTCTGATAGAACTCTTCAACTTCTTTTCCGTCCCTTGTTTCAATCACGGACATCTTCATCGTGAAAATCTGTTGAGAAATGATACAGTAAGACACTAGAAGACTTATTATCAAGATGGCCTTCAAGATTGACTCAAATAACTTAGGACTGATTAAAATTGTATCGCTCTCGTCCACCTTCTCATTTTACGCACCTCTGAATATTAAAAATGCAACAAAGATGTCAGAATAGTGTTTCATTTAACTTAGAGAATATAAAGTGTTCCTTAAAGTGCTCTAGTAATACGACTCAACTATTTGTGTTAAAGGTTGCCCCCTGGCTGTAATTGTGGACTCCCGCCCTCAATTTCGATCACTTACGGGCCACATTTTGTGACAAAAACGCTTTNCTGAATATTAAAAATGCAACAAAGATGTCAGAATAGTGTTTCATTTAACTTAGAGAATATAAAGTTTTCCTTAAAGTGCTCTAGTAATACGACTCAACTATTTGTGTTAAAGGTTGCCCCCTGGCTGTAATTGTGGACTCCCGCCTTCAATTTCGATCACTTACGGGCCACATTTTGTGACAAAAAACGCTTTTGAACAGCAGGAATGTTCTGGCGTAGACAATGGTCACGCTTTCGTATTTCTGTTAGGTAGGTAATTCACGGTCTATGTGTTAAAGATGCACCTTTTTATATGGATTTGTGCTGATCTTTTTCTTGCGTTTTCTCCAAATGACATCTGGATAAACAGCCAATTTGTATTTCACTAATGTTGATTGCTACCTAAAGCTATTGGACGGTAGCCAGGTTTTCGGCTTCACTCAGGAAATCACAACACGTCATCTGTCACATTCATTTTGGGAATACTTTTTAGGTTTTTGGTAGCATTGTTGAGACCCAACAGTGAAACAAACATAGTAGGGAACAGCTTGACTATCAAGGGTTTAGCTATTTTCCGGTTCGTGTCCATCTACGGCCAACTTCCCACGAAAAAACGAGTGAATTTTTAATGTACGGTCTTTTTTATTCCTGGAGACATGGTTCGTATTAGTACCCACTCGATTTGTTATTCCATCAACTTTCCTGAAGTTAAGGTGAGGGCCAGAAATAGGCGACGACCGGCATGGAATCATGTTGCCTGTGCCAGTTGATGTTGCATGTGTGTGTTCATTCCTTGTTCACGCACGTTCTTTTTCATGAAAAAATAGCCCTACGCATGATTTAACTAGCTCGGGTAAAGTGTCACTTCAACTGAATATTCTAAGAACGTGTTGCCTGTGCAATAAAAATATCTGCTTCAAATTTTGGCATTCACATTATAGGCGAACCAATGACGAGTAAACCCGTAGTTTTCGAGGCATTAGCATGGTTGAGGTCAGAAATTTCAAAGGTGTCAGCCCAGAGATGACATGTTGAAAGAGGCATTTTGTGACACTCTTCTTGGTACCGCAAGCAGTGCACTGGCCACGATTTTCGTCTCAGACCTTGTCACAGGCATCAAAGGAGAAACTCAAGACAGCCTCACCGTACTGACTGCACAGTGATTTTATGACGAGTGGCAGCATATCCTCCGCAGTCATGCCACTGATCAATTACTCGCCTCGGAATGGTTCAGTGTTCCACTACTAGTCTGGAGGATGCGAGCTGGTATATTCCTGGAGATTCGTGAGCTGCACATTGCTGATGATTCTCAATAAGACGGAAACAGTCGTACGCAGCTTCTCGACTTTTCGACAGAGGTCGACGGTAATAACAATACGAAATTTCCTTTGGGACTACTTTTTCTCCTCATAGCCCAAATGAAACGTCTTCCTATAGAGTTGCAAGAAGATCTAGCAGAAAGAACGGTGTCAACCGATGGTGTGCCTTTCTTCCTATATGTCGGAGAAGCTGACCCTTCTACGAATTTCAGGGGGACGTTATCAAGCTCTTTCCGAAAGACGGATTCATCATATGGTGAGGGTCAATTTGATGGTAAATAATGACATTTGGATATTCGACCATGCTTACTCAATAGTCACAATTAACCAGGCACACGTTACATGCAGTTTTTCCCTTAAAAATCCTGCATGTACGTCTGGATGGCATCACTATACGGGGCTGATGTTTGACATGAAACGCAACTCATCATTTAAAACCTCAACAGTAAAGAATACATCTCTATTCACCTGAATACGGTAACCTGCCATTCCAAAACCTTATTAAGCAACAGCGGCGCTCGCAGCTGTAAATTGACAATTACACGACTGACAATCATTAGCGTTTACCTTTGACATTAGTAGCTTTCGAGTTGTTGGCTCAGTAACAAGGGCGTCGAGTATTTCCTTCATCTCACGCAGCAGAGGTTGGAAAAGGTGCGTGTTTATCTAAAAGCATAAGATGGACGAAGTTCAAGTGATTGAAATGGCCTATCCTAAAATCGGAACATGTTTTGCTCACATTTTATTGCTTCCAACAATCGTTTCATTTGCAGGCA